ACTTATAGCCTAAATTTATGAATGTTTAAAAAATTTATTTTTTATTTTATAGCTGATTTGCTTTTAAGTCCCAAACTTGTTCAGGGTTTAATTGTTAACCTATTTTTGCCCTTAATTCCTACGTAAGGGAGGAATATAATTACATGCCTAAGGTTACAGATTGCCTGGTTAGATGTCTGGATGAAGAAAAACCTCCGAAAAAAGATGAACCACAAATCCAGCTCTCGTTAGACGTCAACGAAAAGGCCCATTCTCCTCTGCGATTCGCCCCATCATCACCTATTCCAAGAGTTTCCTCTGCCCATAACTTCAATCAGGTAGGCTCTTTCTCGTCCGCGAAGGAGAAGGCCCCAGCATCCAACGGGAGTGGAGATAATGGTAGCGGAACAAAATCGAAACAGCATCATCCTCTCTCCCCGAATTCGGCAAGAGCATCTTCTTCACATGGGAATCATCTTCGGTCTTCTGGTAAAGTTCGTTTGTCCCTCTCGTCATGGGATATCAAGACCGATTTTGGCCCTGATGATGTCAGTATGAAAGATCAGCCAGCGCCCAGCGACTCAAAGAGTGTCCGCCAACTAGCCTACTTGACTTGGTGTCAACAGCGTCAACGACGACAACGTACTTTAAAAGAAGTGGAACAGGCTGACGGCGACACTGAAAAGGACAAGCAGAAGCGCCAAGAACAGGTGAGGCGACTGGGTTCAAGAAGCGTCTTATTCACTACTTCTCAATAGGAAAACTTGAAAAGAGATTGAAGGGTTATAAAAGTTAGCAAAATTCTGGGATTCCTATTTTATCTTCTTCGAACTAGGTGGAATTGGGTTGAATTAGGCAACATTGAGCAGGAATAAGCCAACGCTGGTATTCTTGTTGAGCTTACTTCCATTTCGAGTAAAAATGTTTAGTGAAGAGATTCGAAAGTCGATTCCACTACAAGACGACGGCATATTCCTCTCGACCAGCTGTCGATTGGCTTTACTGGAACATTCGTGTTGACGCCATTTCCGAGGTAATCTCCTTCAATTCCGGTAAAAAGTTGCTACGCTTTCATCCGCCATATGACGAATATCATCAGAGCAAGATATCATCGTTACAACCGAATTCAAGCTAACAAGTCAAGAAAACTCACCGGAAAATTCTTAAAAAGCTCTATATATACCTTGCTCTGATGAGGTTCGTCATACGACGAATGAAAGCTTAGCACCTTTTCACCGGAATCGAAGGAGATTACCTCGGAAACAGCGTTTATATGAATGTTCCAGTAAAGCAAACGACAGTTTGTCAAGAGTAATTCACCGTCGTCATTTGGTGGAATTGACCTTCGAATAGCTTCACCAAACACTTTCACTCGAAATTGAAGTAAACTTAACAATTATAAAACAAGAGATTCCTCGAAATCCAACTTTTCTTCGCATATGCTGGTATTTTTACCAAAGATGGTATTATTCTCAACTTGTGAAGTACTTAAAGATTAAAACTCTAGAACAACAACGATTTAATTACTTTTATTACTAAGAAAATAAGAAGGAAAATAGAGTTGCATATTCTGGTCTCTAAACAGCATATGTCCTGCATTATACGATCAAAATATAGAAAGATAGGCTAGAATTTGAGTATCAAAAACGGGCAGTTGCGAGACGTTTTTTAATCGCATCTATCACATACATATTTGCCAAAATGTTGTAATTCTTCATCCACATAAAAGGTATAATCCCTACTTAGATTACTTAATTTTTAATTGATGCGATTTTTCCCTTGTTTAAGTTTTCATGGGGTCAACTAATTGGAATGCTTGAAGTATGCATCAATAAAGCAGTTTTCACAGCCTCAAGCTATGTGCTTTCCTGTAAATGATGGAGTTTATAAGCAATCTTAAGGAAAGAAGATGCCATTGAAGTAACCTAACCTTGCTTTGTGGGCTGCGGACTGAGTCAAATTAATCCTGTAAACCAGAAGCGCCTGAGGCCTATCGCCTTAACTCACTTTAAGCAGCCTAGCGCGACTATTCAAGGACAATTTGTAGTTTCGAGATGCATTTTGCGTTTTGAATAGATTTTCAAGACTAGTAGTAAATCAGATATATGAGATTTGTTAATCCTATTCCGTTTAAGGTAAGAAGGGGAATCGTCGTTTAATTTTTCTCACAATTACATGAGTAGGGCTTACAGTTTAAATGAATTTTACATAGCCTTGCTTTCCCAAAAAATTATTATTTTCCAGGATGGACTGTAGATTCGAACTAGCCTAGGTCTTATCAACACCCACAACGGGACTTGGACCATCAGAGTGTAGTGTATTATCTCGACATGTTAACCACTACGTCATATTGACATGAGTAGATGTGATTTTCAAATAAAGCCCTTTCGCTTTTATATATTTTACCAGGTTGATT